ATTGTGAAATCAGCTGAATTTAGCCTTCCTGGAAGGAGCCAATCGTCAATCTGTAAAAAAACAGGCTCTCATAGCAAGTTTTTAGAACATCTGCTTTTTGCAGTGCTCTTAAAAAGGCCGCCTCCCGTTCCCACCTTTTAAATCCAATTAGTGTGAAAAAATTCCAGAATTTAGTAATTCCTTTGTAAGTTTTCAAGTACAGGAAGCCTGTAGGAGGAGGAGTGAGGGAGCCCATAAGGCTGCATCCAAACAGGTGTTTAGGAATCAAATGCTTTGCTTGTGTTTCCAGGTCTGTTACTAGTTGTCACAGCATGACACTGACAAATCATTTAATTTTATTTAGGTGTATTTAGGTCAAAATTGGAGTAATAGTCGCTGTCTTACAGAAGGCACATGGAGATGCCAATCTTGCTTTAAACTCTTTAGCAACGGTGCGATATTTGTAATTCTGTTTGTTCTGATGTTTGCGGGGTAAGGCCATACACCAAATATCTGAGAGGTCTGCTGTCTCGCGTACTGTCAACTCACCGTGCTGTCTAATCCCAGCGTGAGTAACATCAGGAAAAAGATGATGGCAAAGAAAGTGGAAGCAGGCATGTTTGCAATGGCCTCAGCATACGTAATGAAGAGAAGGCTGGGTCCTGATGTTAGAACAGAGAATTGGAGATAATTGTTAGCGCAGTGCTGCTGCGAGGAGGACAGGCTGTTTCACTGCACCATGTTGTCTTCCAGGGAAAATCTTCTCCCCCCCAGGCTATTTTGCAGTGTGCGGTTACCACCATGTCTGTGAAGCTGCATGCAATATGACTTCTATATGCTGTCTTTATGGAATAATTTTTTAGCTGTAGTGTGCATTTATAACAGTGCCCTTATCATAAAGTACGTCAGTATCCTGAATTACATACTAAATATTTTGCCTAATTTGGGCTGCTCTCAGTCTAGAAGATAACATACAAATATATTCTATCTTAGAAGCAGTTTGAGAGATGTGTACAAAAAGTTAGCCTACCAGTATCTTTGGCAACCTCTGATACATCTTCGTTCCTCATCTCAGCCATGTATCCCAGCACAGTGAAAATGACGAATCCAGACACAAAACTAGTCACGCAGTTCACGGTACTGGTAACCAGAGCATCTCTGCAACAGAAGACCTAACTCATATCAGGGAGTTGGCATCTGCTAGAAAGGATAGTTTACTACCAGCTGGAGCAAGTTACTGATCTAGACAGACTCCTACAAAAACCAGGGTAATACAATGAAATGAACAAGCAGCAGATTTGAAAGAAAAAAAACAACCCAAAACACGACTACTTTTTCTTCTTCCACTTCAAATAGATGCTGTAACATTAGTCTGACACCGGACTGAATGCTGGATGTATAATGGTGTTTTAAAAAAATAAGAATTACTATGGGAGTAGTAAAGAAGTGAGAATTTTATTTTACAAGTTATAAAAGAATTTTTTAAGATAACAAGGAAACAACTATAAATTGCCTTTGAGCTCAAGACTCGAAGGTCATTTCCTAACTGACTGCTGAGATTAAATAATTATAATGTGATTGTTTGGCAGGGGTTTAGTCCATTTTGTTGTGGCAGGTTTCTACATCTTAGACTCCTTGCTGTAACAGGTAGAGATTATCTCTCTTTAGGGTAGGCACAACTGAGAAGAAATGTTTTAGATTGCAGGTTCTTTCAATAAGGACTTTTGTTCTGTTATGCTTCTGTCTGATTTGTATGTACACAGATCTGACAATTCAGTGCCTTTCACCAGCACTGTGTTTCTTTTTCATAAATACCCACAGTTACATTTTTTTAACTCAATTTTACTTATAGAATAAGGTAGAACTCACTGGTAGCAGTTGTTATGGAATTTGTTGTAGCTGGCATAAGCCAATAGGACCCCAAAACCTGGACCAAGGGAGAAAAAAATCTGAGCTGCTGCATCCACCCAAACCTGAAAAATATTGAAGATCAAGAAGAAATTACGTGAAACATATCAAATGAGTTTGACATATTCAGAATATCACTTAGCCCTACAAAACCGTGTTTCACTAGTCTGCCTATATGCTAGTCCCGGTCTAACAAACATTTTCTTAAGAAAGCATGTTGAAATATGAATATTTATTGTAGATCTGTGAGAGTTGTAAATATCCACTATAACTTTAGTGCCTATACCATGCTTATTGTATCTCTTTACGCTGCTGTAAGTGCTCACTGGCGGTTTCACTTCTTACAGTATCTTAGATTAATTCACAGTGATTTGCCTGCAATCAGTTTAATGCAAGTTTTGCAATGTATAGAGAACTTTCTATCCATGATTTTCAGTGGGCTTGGCCCATCTTCCTCCAAACTCTGTGCTGTGGAATAGTCCTACCTTTGGCTGTGTGTCCTCCAGGCTTAGTGGTAGGTGATCACTGCTCAGATTTTTCCTAGATTTATGGAAATACATTTGGCAGTGTGGATGCAGTTCTAGTCCTTATGACTCAATTCAGCTTTGTTGTAGCCATGACAGATGCAAGTGTGATGGTGTTGTTATGAAAAGCCTGTTGTACTTGAAAAGTGGCCACAGCCTTAATGAGTAGCGTTCCTGAAGTACAATATCAGTTCTCATTCATTTATCCTCTTTTGATTGAAACATGGAGTTCATTACACTCATTTCTAATATTCTCTTCCATCATGTGAGGCCATCCTGTATCATCCACAGACAGAGCTCTGTCATCGTCCAGCACACAGATTGCAATCTGCTGTCCTCACTTCAGATACATCCAATACAATATCAATGCCCTTTATTGCTTTTTCAGAAGATGTGGTCCCTTATTGGAGATGCTGCTTTATCAGAGACTGGTGTCTTTTCATTTCCTCTTCATTCAAAACTCTCCGTATCAGCTGGGCAGCAGCAGACTTGCAAACATTAGAATTTTTAATCTTTGTAGTATTTATTGCTTTGGGGTTTTTCCATCACCCTCCTCACTACACACTTTCATAGGCAGTGAAGTAAGTGCAGCCTTGAGCCTGATGGATTATTTGTCATCCACGGAGTTCAAAGCTGAATCAGATGCTGGAATGCTTGGGGTTTGTTGGTTAGCTCAGTCTTGTCCTCATTCCTCCTTTCTTTTCAGATCTTGGTGGTGTATGCAGGCCTGATTTATTCCTTCTCCACATGCACTTGCATGCATTACTGAGTCCTGTTTTAGTTGGTGGCTACAGAGTCTCCTTGGGTTTATCTGCCAAAGCTTGTCACAGGACAGAGATCTGAAGTTTTAACTCTAGTAACCTGCACTATTTAAATATGGGCAACTGTGGACACCATTGGGCTGTAGAAAGGCCCACTCAAGTGTGTAATGATCCCCTCACAGCCAAAAAACCTGCAGCTAGACCAGTTGTTAGGGCTTAGTAAATTTAGTTTGCTCAGTGTGACTGTCATAGGTAAAGGATTTTGTTGCAGTGTAGCAGCAACCGTAGCTTCTTGCTCAATATCAGGGTGTTCACCATTTTCCTGGCAAGAAATGGTTTGGTCACTTGTTTTCTTTCTAATCGTATCACTAATTCTATTCAACCACTGTATGGGAACTCTACTATTAGTTCAAGCTAAATTGATGCTGGACTCTAAAAAAAAAATTTTTATAATTATGGAAAGAATAGCATGACTGTTTAAACAAGAGCACGAAGTCAGGCTTTTAAGTCCATGCTAAGACATCTGTTTAATCATGCTCTTATGCTGAAAACAGACATTGAAGTATATAGATGCTGATATACATGCTGATAGGCTAAAAGCAAATCTCTACCCTTTTATAATGTTTTTTACCTCAGTGGCCAGGAGTTTCTGCCAGTCAGGTTTCAAGTAGTAGAGGACACCTCTCCAAGCCCCAGGCAAAGTTGCCCCTCTCACTAGCAGGATAAAGAGTATGATGTAAGGGAATGTGGCAGTCACCCATACCACCTGTGAGGGAAAACAGTAAGATAGCATTTGCCATAGGTAGAAAGTTAACAGGTGGTAGTAAGAATGAGTTATTCTTATTATAGTTCTTAGCATTTATAACATCTTCATCTGGACTTCTCAGAAGGTCTGTAAACAGGCAGTTTGCATATCTATACCCACATTGTCTCTTGGCCGGGTTGTTCTTGTCCAGAGAACAGTGGTGTAAGTTACTGTTGTTACATATCACTTGGATAACAGTAGCAGTCACTCTAAAGTAAGTGCTTCCCAAATACATGAGCCTATAATCCCTGTCATGAAGATAATCTGAGATAATTCCCTGTCAAGTTAATTGGCTCATTTAGAACTGTTGCTAGACTACACTGTACCAAGTTCATTTGTCTTGCTTTTGCATTCACCTTGCCAGATGTTTTGACCCCTTTCCAGATGCTGAAGTACACAATGGTGAAGATTAACAATAAACAGAGGGTCAATTGCCAGCTAATGCCCCCCAGGTCATCCATCCCATTGGACCTGTGCACCTGTAGAACTTGGCGGCTGAAAGAGGAAAGAAAAACACAGTATAGATATTTTTTAACAAATGCTTCTGTTAAGTATGCTTTGAGCAGTCCCATACTGTCGTCTGAGCGTTACAAGTAGTCCTGAAGCCTTGATAAGTAGCCTTCAGGGTCATGTCATTTTGGATTTTTTTTTTTAATTAAAAGTTTGTTATTGATGGTACACCAGGGATGATAAATGATAAGTGATGACGGCTGACAATGGGTGGGAACCTCTGATCTAAAATACGGAGTACCCTCCCATACACCCCAAGCTTATATACGCCTACAAGTATTTAGTCATCTAAATAGTTCAGAAAAGGGTGCTGCTAATAAACAGCCCTGCTCCCCCTCCAAAGAAAAGCTTGCTACATGTTCCACCATTCTCTCTAATATTACTGTCCTCACTTACATGCACTTACGTATAAAATTCTTCTGCGGGAGAGATGGAGTGCAGGGACCAGCTGACATTGTCCTTGCTCAAGTAGTTAGTGCAGTTGCCTGTGTTCCAAGCGTTTGTGCAGCTAGTCCATGGTAGCTGCGCCGTGAAGGAGGATACGAGGTAGTAAAAGGCCCAAGCCATAATGGTGTTGTAGTAGGAGGCTACGTAAAGATCTATTATACAGATGGCAAAGCCAATTCCTAGTAAGGCAGGAAATAATTACATGAAGTGAGTGTAAGTTTTAGGCCAAAAAAAAAGGAAAGAATTGGTTATCACATCACCTGCAATTAGTAACTGTCTAAGGCAGCTCTGCAGGAGGTACACATACCCTCTCAAGTGTTTACAACACTGGAATTCCTTGTGGCTTCGGAAACACTCAGGCTCCGATTCCAAAAAAGCATCCTTAATCAAGACAGAACATGCTTATATAGTTTTATTCATCTGTTCTTAAATTCCTGGAATTTAGAAATAGGCATCTTGCACTCTCAGCAAATAAAAAAAACAAGACCAGAGCTATAACACTGGGAGCAGGAGTAAACAAGCATATAGGACAGGTCCTCCTACTGTAAAAGACTGTGTGGCAGGATGGCAATTGACAGACTAAGGCTGAAGATGGGGAATAATTTCTTTGTAATATCTTTGTAATACAAATAGTAGATCTTTATTTTTCCTGGTTTTAATTTATTTTGCCTTGGATTCACTTTATTTATTACCTTTTTTTTTTATATATATTTTCAGGCTTGGGCCAGAGAAAATGGACTCGTTTCTATCTAATCAATTTGAGAGTTGCACATCATATGTGTATATGAGAGTACACACACACTTTGCAGATGTACATAAAGTTTTATGAAAGCTTTCTTTGTAAAGCCAAAATCTTGTGTAGAACAAGACTTACTTTGTTTTATGGGATTTTCAGATTTTTTTTCAGAAATTTCACCTTTATAGGAGAATCTTCCAGTTATTCAGAAAGTTCCTAGTAATTTGCCATTTCCCTTCTTTACCTTTGAATATAGGACATATTTTTCTCCAAATTGAAATACACCCATTCCTGTGGTACTGTCCTAGTGCTAGTTCCATATAGAAGAGAGGAATCCCTCCAAAGATGGCCATAATTGTGTAAGGAATGAGGAATGCTCCTGCAAGAAAGAAAGCAGATTATTATAACTCTTCATAGGACTTCTCTTCCAACAGTACCAGCACTCCATAAATGACAGTTCCTTTTATCCCACAGGGAAAAGGCATATCCCCTCCCTAGCCAGTGTTCCACACTGAATTACCATGGGCTTTCTCCTAAGAGTAACTAGTCAGCGGTGTGAATAAGAAGCAACACTCAGGCCAAATTTCTCACATTTCCGTAACAAGTATACACAGGATTCAGCAAGACTGTACTGCCTACAATGGATACAATTGTGAGATGGGGTACAGATAAAATAATTAATTTCTTCAATAAAATGCCTTTGTTACATCAGGGAGATAAAAGTCCTTTCCAAGGTCTCTTTGATCAGATTTATGTTTTGGCTGAAATGTCAGTGAGTCTAAGATCTAGCATTCCTGATAAGCGTGTTGACATGTTGGTTTATCTGATTTTAAATACTCCATGGGACAGGCATTGAGTCTCTTCTCTTGGAAGGTGGTTCTGCACCTAACCGGCTCTCAGCTTCTAGTTGTGCTAATTGTTTAGATCTTGCTAAACGGTTTTTCCTCCATCTTAATGTGCCTAGTTATCCTATCCCAGTATTTACATTTTCCAGTCTGCTTGCAAAGTAAGTAATTTCCCCTTAGTCATTTGTTATATATGGTCTTAAAATAAGCCACTGAACTCATCCATTTATAAGCAAGGAAGTTCAGCATTAAGGAACAGCATACAGAACTAGTCACTGACCTCCTCCATTTTGATAGCATATATAAGGAAATCTCCACACATTTCCCAGATCCACCGCATATCCAATGACAGAGAGCAGAAAGTCAATTTTTTTACTCCAGGTCTCTCTGTCTTCTAGCTCCATCAGCTGCTGCTGGCCTTCTGCTCCGCAGGTGGTAGAAGTGGTGGTTGTAGTGGTGGTTGTGGCTGCCAGGGCAGTGCGCTGGGCATCTTCCACCTCTCCCATTCCATTGCAGGGAACAGGGCTCTGAACCCCTGAATAACCATTTGAGATCTGAACTGCCTCCCCTTTTTCTCCCTGGCTGGAATGGACTTTATCGCCATCATCCACTAGCCGTAGGGCAGATTTAGTGTTCCTGACCAGAAGTCCATTCTCTTTACAATCTTCTCCTTCATTACAGTCTGAGACATCTTTCTTGGAAGTCAGCAGCTCAGTCTCATTGCTTGTTGCTTTTTTTTCCATTTTTTCCCAAGATCTGTTCTGATCACTTGCAGACGAACAGCAGCAGAGAGTCCCTTTGTGGCTTGTCTTCCCAGCGTATTCCCAGCACTTTTAGAATTCCTCTTCCATATTTAAATCCATCAGACTGAAGGCCCAAACACCATCTAAGAAATGAAAAATCGTTAGAAATCCATTACAGGCTTACTGATGCTGGTAACTTTACAGTTACAACTGACGGATTCTGTGATTAAAATACTTTTGGAAGTAATTAACCATCACAGCACACAATGTGAATCATTTAGCAGATAATTCATTCAGGATTTTGTACAGAGAAAGGAAGGAAACAATCATCCTCTTCTACAGCAGAAGTCAGTGTACCTGGTTTATAACCTTTCAGGCAGATTTGCTGGACTTTGTGCATTGTTGGACAAGTTACAGGCAGTCACAGTCCTGTGCCTTCTGGTACCACGTTCTCCCTCGGAACACTGGTTTCACGCTTAGGGAGGATGTGGGACTCCCAGTTTGCAAAAATGAGGGCAGAGTTTAGTGTGGCTTGTATTTTCATTTTCGTAAGTTCATCCTGTGAGTTCTACTGGCAATTTCTAGATTCACCCAGTAGGAAGGGAAAAGAATTGAACAAATATGAGATAACAATGGACATAAAAATTACATTTCATGACCACTTTTCTTCAGAAATCCCAGAGTGCCTGCTATGTTTAGCAGCAGACCTAGAAGGCTTAAACAAAAGTTTAGAAAAGTATTTAAGTCTCAGTGGTTTTGTATCAACTAACTTTTCAGGTGTAGTCAACACTAATAACAAGGAAAAAAAAAAAAGATCAGGAAGCTTCAATTTGATTGTTTTAAGTAAGAACTAACATGTGGGTCTAAAGGACAAAACTTGTCCCCAGTTTTATTTAACTCCTTGGAGAAATAAAGGCATCTTTCATTCTGTTTGGATCTGCTAAGACTGGGTCCAGCCCCAGGAAGGGCAGTGGGCACTACTCCTCTTCTACTGTCCACCACCAGCAAAAAAACCAACCCAGGCACTGGGAGAATCCCTGACTTTACTTGCCCTTTTCATACATTCTAGAAGCATCATCCAGGGGAAATAAACCATCCCAAAATAAAGAAAAAGTATAAAACAGTTAACTTTTCCTTCAGAACAAAAAAAACAGAAAAAGAATTGTGATTCAGCGGGTCATGTTTTGTGTTCTGCTCATTTGTTCAGGTAACGTAAATGCCCAGCTGCCTTTACTCAACAAAATCTTGAAATAGGAGCTGATCGTCTGTGCTGTAAATTCCCTGGGTAGTAACCTTTCTTTATAGCTAGCAAAGTGTTACACAGTCTCCACGATGCCACCACAGATAATATAATTACATCTAATTTTTCCTTTTCAAAGCATTTTACCACAGTAAATATCATTGTCACATCCTAGCAGAAGAATAAGCATTATTTCACTTTTAACTGTTGGAAAAACTAAAGCAGAGAGGGGATATTATTTGCTCATTACTAGAATTACTAGCTTGTTGCCAGAGCTATTAAAACTCAGGTTTTTCCCAGCTTTTAGCCTTGTGCAAAGACTGTTAAACCTCTGCCTAAACATTTATCAGTGCAAGCAGAAAGAGAAGGAAAGTTAGAGCTGCAGAGCAAACAGGAAGATGTTCTCGAGATGAAAGTCTCTTGAAGGTGTTGCTTCTAACTTTCAGAAATCTCTACTTCTTCAGGCTTACATTCTATCTTTACCCAGATAATGTTCTTTTCATCATATAGCAAGCAGTGCATCGTTAATGCTGAATTCTTACAAGAGTAGTACTTTGCTACCATTAGTTAATCATCCACAAAGACCGAAACATCTTCAGAGTTCCAGAGAAAAATACCACAGGAAAGAACAGAGTTTCTGTTTTACCTGCAAAACTATAAAAACTGAGTGTCTTTCGAGTCCGAAACCTTCCAAATGTCCCAAAAGAGCTTCTGTAGATAAAAACGGCCCTACCACCACTGGTGGCAACAAAAAAAAAAATCCTAGGAAAGGCCACAGTCAATCCTTTCCTTGTTTAGAATGTGTTAAATATATGGTAGGAATATGGAAAAGTAACCCGAGCCCTTCTGGACTTTACACCTCTTACTCAAATATGGAAAAGCAGTAAAGGATGTTGATTTAACTGCATTATCTCATGAGAGTGTATTTTCCATACCTGAGACAAACTCTTACTGTATTTGTAAAACACTTTATTTCAGCACATAGATATTTCTTGGCACTTTCTTTACTGAGGAGAGGTTGTTGAATGTATTGTTGATTTCCCAGATCTGTGACAATCAAGATAGTTGCCTTATCCAGATCTAAGCTCCTTCTGGTCTTCTGCAGACCACAGGAAAGAAGTATCACATTATTTGCAATATTTTTGTAGAATTTTCAGTAGTTTGAGCCTCAGATATGCAAAATGATGTGTGAACTTTCAGGGGCTTCAGCTGGAATTTGAGCTATTCTTTTCTGAAAAAGAATTATGGCTCCTCAACTACCCTGGGAAGTCTCTGGAGTGACCGACTCTACAGCTATGCTGTGGTGTTGTTCACAGCGGCATAGTTGGCACATGAAAACAGAACAGTTACAGAATCAGAAGATTTCATTACGCTGTAAAAAACTGTGGGAGAATGTACTTTTCCCTCCTTCTTGTTACAATTCAAGAACAAAAATATCTGAAGGAATTGTAACTGCTACAAACAGTGTGAAGAGCTGCAGAACTAGAGCTCTTGGGGTTGAGAAGTATGCTAGGACCACTAGGGAAGATATCCCGGGGAAGATTTCACTAATAGTGAAGGATTTTGCCCACCTCAGCCTCCACTTCATCTCTGTGCACCACCCTCTCAGTAGTTACAGGTTCTAGAATGACGATGGTGAATGATACAAGAAATTGCAGATTATTACATATTTTCAATCTGAGCTGTTGCAAAGGTTGCTCTTACATAAATACACATTGGTTTCTTATCACTAACATAATTAGCTACAGAAGGAAAAAAAAGAAAAAGAAAGATAGCTGTGGCTTCATTTTGTTTTGATCTGTGTTTTGTAGATGTCACTTTGCTCCTTGGAGAGGCCCAAAGCATCAGCACCTTTTCTCTCTCCAGTAGCTCCGAGCAGAAATTATTCTAAAGGACAGTTTTCATCTCCATAATGCTGTGCCGGAGCATCTGAAAGGTGCCGTAAATTGCACTCCTCCTTACGCAAAGAGTGACTAAAGAGGAGTGACCCTCAGCTCTGCTCCAGAGAAACACCCTGTAACAAGCATGTCCTCCACAACTGTTCCCTGCTTTGCTTGTTTGTTGAAAACACTAGGATGGATAATTGAAGACATGTGTTTCTATGAGCTTGGCTGAAGCCACCAGCACAGTTCACGTAAGCCAAATATTAATTAAATTATAATTTTTGGTTACTCCCACACAAAACTAAACTTGAACCAGCAGTGCAGATGTAAGAGCCCTCTATGTCCCTTGATGCACAAACCCAACTCCTTTGCCTCTACCAAAGCAATCCTCAGGGAGCATCCCTGTCCTGGGGTCCGGTTCCTTCCCCAGCAGGGAGCTGCGCAACTGGTGTATCCTCATCACCTTGTTTATGTCTTGAGGCATGCAGTGACCTCTCGTGGCAGTGTGGGAATGCCTTTCCTTTAATGCTCTGCCATGTAGTAAACCAAATCTTTCCAGCACTTAAAAAAAAAAAAAAATATTTTCCTGTCTTCTGTATTTGTTTTAAAGGAGAAGATTGACTTGCAATGTGTCTAGGAGATTAAAACAATTAGGTTGAGGTGCAGCAAATACCAGATGCTTCAAGGGAGGCAAATCTTAATGCCTCAAGTCACCTGGAGAATACTTTATTTGAGGTGGGGCAGCACAGACTTCCTGAGTTCCACAGCACAAGGCTTGTTCAGCCTCACTGCACACGACTACAGAAGTCATTACTCACCTCCAAATCATCAAACACATTTTAAACTCGCACAGTTGCAAAATTTGTATATTTGCATATACTTAACTTCATACAAATTATGTTCTTTTTTCATGTGCTAATTTTATAAGCGAATGCTTGCTGGAATACCAGCCACTCACTGGCAT